AAAAATAATTTTTTTCTCGTTTTTATTTTGAAACAATGAAGTATTAAGTTTTACCTTGAAACGTTTTTCAAGTTTTTCGAATTGGAATCTTAGCAACGACGATGTGATTTTTTTTTCGGATTTTATTAAGACATTTAACAGCCGGGAATTGTTTTCGAATTTTGATTCTTGGTGATTTTGGTTTTATCTGAAACTTAAATTTGACAACTGAATCACAATCAAAATTATAAAGAAAACATATCACGAACGTAAATATCGGTTCAGGTTTAGTTTTCGCAAATTTTTACCAAAATGTCATTTTGAAAAAGTGGTCTTTACTTGACTTTGAAAATAATGAAAGTTTGTTGCTTGTCGCTTGTTCGGAATTATTCAAGGAACAATCTTTCACCATCTTATTTTCTTGTTCTTAAAAAGACTGAGTGTATTGCCTACCAAAAAGCCTTAAATGTACTCTTTTGTAAAAAAATATTAGATTTTCGTTGCTAAGACTCCAATTCGAAAAATTTGAAAACCTTTTCACCGTTTTACATATCACCCTGTAGGAAATTTACTTAAAAAACCGTGGGCTTAATATCTATAGCATGAATTGCCAGAGGATGGGGTTAGCAGACATCACAGACCAAAATAAAATCGTTCAAGAAACAAAACAATTATGCCGTTTTGAAAAAGGACGAAATATTTGGTCGCGACACATTGAGTGGTGCGCAGTTTAGTTAAAATTCTCACAAAAATGTATTTTGAACTTTAAAATTGATTTTAAAAAATGAAAAATTAAATTTTTCGACTTGTTCTAGACCAACAAATAGGGGTAAAAAAATTCAAAAAAGTAAATAGGGGCGGTTTTTCGTATTTGATACCTAAAAATCATCCTCAATTTTTTTAATCAAAATCTTAAACTATATTTAGAATTCATTACTTTTCAAAATTCCAACGGAATACTAATAGTTGGCCAAATGTTTAGTAATTTTTATTATACAGTCCGCATAATATTACAAAATATGTTCTGGTTTTACAAATATACAATAACACTGTAGGGAGGTGAAAATATCACAGCTCGGACACGTAAAATTAATTTTTGGTCGTAGATTACAAATCCGTGCTTGGTTTAGGTATCAGGTCAAAATTCAAAGATATTGGAAACACCCTGTATAAATTTAAACACCCTGTATAGATTTTTTTTTAAATTAAATTTGGCGGACCCACACATCAGTTCCAAATTAAAAAAATAACAAATTCTTACAAAATTTGAAGTTAATTGATCAAAAGATACACGTGTCCCTAAGGGTTTTTCTTAGATAGTTTAGGAAATATGAAATGTTTTTTGCTGATTTTTTTTTATTGAGTATAATTGAGGATATTATATTAAATGACATGTTGGCCCAAGAGGTGAATTATATTATTTTACAAATTATAATATACCAGTATACAGTGTGTCCCCGAATCGGATTTCCAATAGGAAAAACTTTTTTAGACCTGATACAGCTAAACCGAGCACGGATTTGGAATCTACGACCAAAAATTATGTTCACGTGTCCAAGCGTTTAGCTGTGATATTTCAAAAGTTAAAAATTTACCTACAGTGTAATCAGTGCTTAAGTTTGAAGTAACTTCTTCCAAAAACTGTGGCAAAAAGTACTACCAAACTTAAGAGTTTACTTTTCTTCGTGTACATGTTCATTGGACAATGTGGCAATTTAATCTCTTTGATGAAGGCACTTATTGATGGTATGGATTCTTGTATTTATTATCAAATTATTTATTCATATTCTTTGGTCATACAATTAAAATACCTTCTACAGCAGCAAAAAGTAATTAAACGGCTTGTCTAAAGTAATATTGTAATTGTCGGCATTAACACGTTTTATTGCATTTTGAAACGACTTAATCAATCTATAAATAACGTTAAAACAGTTTTTTTTAGTTCAACGAAAGTTATCTTTTAAAAGTGGAACATCGTATAAGATGCGCAAAATATTCGCAATATTACAAAATTCGTTATTTTTTTTATTATCAAATTATTCTGTAACACTTTCTCTGCAAATAAATAAAATATATTCTGTAATTTATGTGCGAGGCTGAGGATTTTCGACGCCTAAAGTAAAAGCAGATGCGCCTATTTAAGTTTTTCATGTTTTTACTGCGTTTTTTCTTTATTTTAATTGATTTTAATTAATATTCTGCCTTCAATTATTTTCATTGTATTTAAAAGGACATCAGTTAACAATTGTTGCTCAAGTCATTTAATTACTTCGTGGCTAAATTATTAATTTATAGAAGTTTTTTATTGTGACTGCATTTTTTCTATGTGGGTCATAGTTAGATTTCAATATTAATATTTAATTTTAACCTTTTAAATATTTTTTCTACTCCCACCTTTAAAACGCCCTTTATCGTACATGTTTCCATGACACTAAGTGACTTTAAATACACATTGACAAGTTGTCGCTTTATGGCGCTTTAGTCACGGGCTGAAGTTAGCAACAGGTTTTTAGTCACGGGCTGAAGTTAGTTGTCAAATGTCATATAATCGTTAAAATAAAGTGCCTTTCTTCTACTAAATGTAAAAATTATTTTATTATCTCAAATTGAGATTCTCAATACAAAAATACAAAAGTATTAAATACCAATATTTGAAAAGTTTATATGAACATTGTACTGACCTTTTAATTTCGCCGGCAGTAAACTATAACTTAAATTCGGGCACGGACTCCACTGTAAAGTGCTCATAAAGCATTTTCTTTACTTTCACTGTGAAAACTGTCAATTTTCAAGAAATACATTTCAATAATCTGTGTTTATAAAATATAAAAATTTGACATTTGACGGTGACACACAGATTCCCCTATTGTTTCATAGATGGCGCTCTATACAAATTTTTTATTTAAATCATTTTAAGATAACAATAAGTATTTGTCGTAGAAAAAGTATAGTATGCACCTCGTTTATAAACTTTTCTATACACTCATTAATTTAAGCACTCGCTCTCAAGCTCGCTCGTGCCTAAATTAAATTCGAGTATAAAATGGCGTTTATCAAACTTGATACATAATATACTATTTTTACTTCCATACTTTAATTCGCTTATTAAACATTTTCTACATGTACTATAATAAAATCCATTATGATACAAATTTTTTATTACGATACAGATAGATACATAAATGCAATACACGGCAATATTCTGTCAATATCAACTATTGCCTTAAACATCTGACAGATTAATCAATTTTGACAAGTTAAAGTGTTAATTTTATACTTAATTATGATAGTCGTGGAAAAAATTTATTGGGCTATTAAGACACTCGTATAGATGTCGCTCTATACAATTATTTAAATTGATGTTGAAGTTAGTAACACTGGCGTTCGGGCTTTTAGTCACGAGCTGAAGTTAGTTGCAGTTGTCAAATGTCATACAATTGTCAAAATAAATGGACTATAAATTGAGGTTAGAAGAGACTGGCAGATGTCAGATTTTTTTTTTGAAAATTATTTGATTTTTGTATTTGTCGTAGAAAAATTATAAACTTTATAACGTTTATAGCCTTTTCTAGACACTCGTTCTTATTAAACACTCGCTCGTGCCTTATTTTAATTCGTGACTAAGATGTTCTTTAATAAACTTGATACATAATGTACTATTAAAAGCATATCAAATATTAAAATACCTTATTGTTGAATAATCATGAATATAAATATCAAATATCATAAACGTGTCCAACGTCACAATTAATAATCAAAAACAAAACATAGAACGAAAACCTTTTATATTCAAATAAAATTATAATTAAATTAACGTATTGCATGTTTTAAATGCGTTTTAATTTTCAGGAAGAGTCGTTTAAATAAAATATTATTTATTTAACGTTTGTCCTTTGACAGCCAGTTCCTGTCGCTCGAAATTGTTTCCGGCAACCCAAAACAATTGGACATTGCAAAGGTCACTCGAATTCACTCGCAAAATTTATTGATCGAAAAATTTGCATTCGCCATAAATTTTGCCTGACCTCTCACCGCTGTCAACGATCTTTTAGGGTATATGAATGGTATATCTTAGATATCTCTCGCCATTATTAGCGATATTTTTGTGTATATAAACCGTTGAAGAAAATTATACTTTACTTAATATGGATGTGTAAAAAACCTAATTTGTAATAAGCTGTAACTTTCCGCGCTGTTGCAATTAGGCTAACAATGATTAACCTAACAGTGATTAGCGGTTATTTCGGCTTGAAATTGAATTGTTATAACGACAAACAGGATATATTTTCATATTACTGTTTTCAGAACACACATTATGTAGGTACTGCGAAACACATTGTTGCAAATATAATAAATATAATTTGTTTAAAATCAAGAATTTTGTTAGTTTTACATTGTTTTTAACAAAATCACGGTAGGTAGGTATTACTGCCTATTTTAGTTATTTTAATAAATATTGAAAGTCTAAGATTTCTATAAATCAACATCCTTATAGACAGTCAGTCAGTCAAATTAGAATCACAATGTGATAATTGCCAATTACAAGAACATTTCCCTTTATTGATTTGTAACCAATTTCCTCTAACATTATTACACCTTCATAATTACACACATTATTAAACATTTTCGTCGACATAGGAAAAACAAAACTTTTCCATGAAAATTAATGAATGCGAAGGAAAGGTCGGTAAATTACCATCGATAATTGATTTTCCAATAACAAATCATGTTAAAAAAAAGACGTGTAACGAGTGGACAAATAACATTTTTGAGTCGTGGTAAGGAATTTTAATTTTTTACGTTTGAAAAAATTTCGTATGCATTAAATGTTTCTTGGCATTTCTAAATACTAACTAATCATTGGATTTTTATCAATTAGCTTGTTGTATAAGAATTTTGTATTAGAATGTTATGGAATCACTGGGTATGTCAAAAAAACTTTTAGATACATGTATGTAATAGCAAAATGTTTTAAATTATTGTTTAAAGTTATATAATTAATGTTTTTTTTCTTTTTCCAGATGGTATTTTCGAAAAATAAAACGTATCGAAGCCGAAAAAAAATTGTTACTGCCAGAAAATCAACATGGCGCTTTTCTTATAAGAGATTCAGAAAGTAGACACAACGATTATTCATTATCAGGTAAGAAACTTATTAAAACAAAACTTTTTTGAATTTTTGAATTGACATCTTTTTGACGACTATTTATGACATTAAAACATCTTGAAGATTCTCTTATATACCTTAAAGACGACTTTTTGTCATGGCCAATAAGTCATGTTTTAGACACTTTTTAACTCTTTTGGTTTAAATATTCCACACAGTCGTAGTATGCGTTGAAATAACAAGATCGTTACTCAGCAACTAGTTACAATGTTATTAAGTTTCATAAATAAAAAATAAAACAAATACCAACCTAACAAGAAAAACTATGCAATTTGCTTCCACACAATTACAGAGATATTCTAGCGTGAAACGGTTTTGCATTACTGACATAAATTTGCATTTGTTGAATGCTGAAAAACAGCACTTTTAGAATGTTTCAGGCTTATATATTGTAAAATTAAATTTGAGCCTGTAATAAAATGCTTAAGCAATGGTAATAAAATGCTTAAGCAATTTTAATAAAAAGCTTAAGAAATTGTATCAAAATTTCAGTACAAAATATATTAAGAGCTATTATTACATTATAGATAACTTACCTACTCTTTTTAAAACATTATAGAAAAATAGTGAAATAGTGAAATAGCGAAATAGTTGGAAGCAAATTCAGTAATCGATTAAATTATTAATTGTCTTGTTTTTTAATACTTATGACCTATATTATGCATGCAATACAAGTTTAAAATTTTTAGCAGCTTTTTTAAACCCAGCATAAATCATAAAAATGCGTTTTCTGAAAAATCACCATTTTTATTTTGTTTATTTTTAAAAAATGCTCATCAATTAGTCATATTATTTCTATTTACAAATTTGATTGTTTTAATTTTAACAATTAATTATAATAATTATTACGATTAGATAAGTAAAAATGCTTATAGAATGTTCGAACATTCTTTATTTAAAATAATAATTATTACTACAATAATAAAATAATCGATTATTTTGCCCACCTCTAGCTCATTGGCGTAACATCTGACCAGGGGGGCCTAGAGTGGGCCTGTTATTGTGACTAGGAATCTTTAAAAAAGTAAAACAAATGTTGTCTCCAAAAGGCACAAATACCATTTTTTTTATCAAACAGTTCCAGTGAGAAAGGAAGTAAGTACTGATCTTGAGGACGCGTCCAAATATAATTGATGACCGTTTGTACCGCGTATATGAGGCGCTGTTTGCGTCAAAATAGAAGTGTAGAAAATAAATATAATATCTCTCACAAAATAAAGAATTTAACAGAAAATGTACAGAAAACACAAAATAGATATATACAATATAACAAAACATATAAAAAATAACAAAACATATAAAATATAACAAAACAAATAAAATCAAACAAAACATATAAAACATAACGAAAAAAATAAAATTCAACAAAACATATAATATATACCTACACCTGTAACAAAACAAATAAAATCAAACAAAACATTTAAAACTCGGGTTCCTCACTTCACCGTTTGAGGGCGCTCGATGCACAAGTTTCAAGAAGACTTCAGCGAAGTCCTGCATCAAATCCCTGAAAAATGTTGTCATTCATCTATCCTTGGCAGATTCAACTCCATCGTTTCCAATTAAAGCTATAAATTAAAATTAAAAAGTATAAGGATTTAAAGAAAACCTTTTAGCGACTGCTTTGGTGCGGGTAGTTGTGTGCAAATTGATCGACGGCGAGGTATTTACAAACTTAACTTTATTACACTACATATACACAATATACAATACAATACACATATATACACAAACAGAATTATAATTTAAATGTGTTGTCACCCGGAGCCGATGTACTCAAAACGGGCAGTCAGTACGTTGTGTCTCGTGATAGACCACGGCATTTTCCAAGAGCCCTTTGGCCACCCACCCCTAATCGTGGTAGGGGATAGGTAGGAAACATTTGGAAAAATCAAAGCGCATCTATAAAAGGGTAATAAAAATAAAATTAAATAAATTACTTTCGGTAAAGAAACCGGAGAGGTAAGTAAGCAATCGTAAAGGATGTTTACCGATGACAGGAAACTCCAATGTTTTACAAGGCTCCAGGTAACAAACACACGCTCTCTGCAATACACTATTTACAACCTACTACCTGAAAAGTTTAAACATAATTACTGACTAATAATAATTCGAAATACATAGCAATAAAAATAAAATAAATAAAAATTATTATAAAAATCACTTAAATTGTACTGACAGACAAGAGTGGGAAATCCAGTCCCCACAACCTTAAAAAACACCGCATTGGCGAAAAATCTTAGTCTTTTTGAAACTTGTGCGTCGAGCGCCCTGAAACGGTCAATTGAGGAACCCGAGATTTAATATTTTGTTGGCTTTTATATGCTTTGTTTGATTTTCCATATTTTGTTGGATTTTATTTGTTTTATTATAGGTATACGAGTATTATATGTTTTGTTGAATTTTATTTTTTTCGTTATTTTTTATGTTTTGTTACAGGTGTACTATATGTTTTGTTGGATTTTATTTGTTTTGTTATATTTTATATGTTTTATTATATTTTATATACCTATTTTGTGTTTTCTATACATTTTCAGTTACATTCTATATTTTGTGAAAGATATTATATTTATTTTCTACACTTCTATTTTGACGCAAACGGCGCCTCATACGCGTATGATCATTGTTATTATGAAAAGATACAATTGCTATTTGCGAGCTTACAGGGGCGGTTTTAAAACTCTTATTTTAAAAGTTGATAAAATACAACATAAGATAATATCTATTATTATGTAAATGATACATACATATTTCTATTGCAAATTTGGTAACAACAAAAAATTATAACAGATAAAGGTCAGCGATGTCTGGGGGGCCCGGCCCCTCTAGCCCCCCCTGTAATTACTCCAATGCCCTAGCTCCGTCACATTAGTCTTGTTAAAAGTACACTAAAAATTTAAGAAATGTTTGTTTGATTTTATTATTTTAATTTTAATTTTACCTTTCCTATTTGAATGTTGTTTTTGTTAAACTAAACTAAATAACATAGAGGGTTCCGTCACATTAGATGTGACTTTTTAGCTCCGACATTAAAAAAGTTTAAAGCCCGCTGCACAACAGCCCGGTAACGAGAACGAAAACCTAAACAGTAAAGGTGGGAGAGACTCAGCAAACACTATCGATCAACAGTGGTTTCTTAGTCTCTCCCACCTTTTCTGTTCAGATTCCCGTTAACGGGCCAATAGCCCAGCGGGCTTAAGAAACGATGCTCTATATGCTGTATAGGATATTGCCGTAGGGTTGTGTAAAGAAAAATATGGAACACCCTGAATATTTTTACATATTTAAAAGGACAGCCTAATTTGGTACAAAAAAGTGTTTAATTTTTAATTGTTTTATTTTTAAGTTTAGGGTAGTTATGCAATTTTTTTTGTATTTAAAAAAACTAAAAATTTATTTAACAAACCAAAATCATATAATTTTTTATTAAATACCAAATTAAACTCGTCGTTTTTTTAATTTAAAATTTTCAAACAACGCTATTACCAAACATTTATTTAAAAATAAAGGTTCTCAAAGACAAGTATAAGCAGTACAGTGGGTTAAATATCCGGTTTTTTTTTTTCGAAATTAATTTGGTAATATCAAAAATATTATTGTATATTTTTACATATTTTAAAGGACAGCCTAATTTGGTACAAAAAAGTGTTTAATTTTTAATTGTTTTATTTTTAAGTTTAGGGTAGTTATGCAATTTTTTTTGTATTTAAAAAAAACTAAAAATTTATTTAACAAACCAAAATCATATAATTTTTTATTAAATACCAAATTAAACTCGTCGTTTTTTTTTAAATAAAGGTTCTCAAAGACAAGAATAAGCAGTACAGTGAGTGAAATATATGTATATATGTTTTTTTTTTCGAAATTAATTTGGTAATATCCAAAATATTATTCTTTGAGGCGAAAAAAATATATTTGCGAAAAGAAAAAAAATTTTGGTTGACATATTAGGCTCGCCAATGACACTTTAAATTGGAAATAAAAAAAACTATTTTTTATAAAAAAAATTGTTTGTAAATTTAATTGTCTACATAAAACACAATATTTATGCGTTATCTAATAAGGGCCTTTTGTATTAAATTTAGTAACAAAATTACTTCTAAATAAAAATACTTTTTTACTTTCAGATTTAAGTGCAAGATGTTGACCGATTTTTTTTCCTTTTGTATATATTTTTGTATTACTATTTAAATTTCAACAAAAAGCGGATATTTGACCCATTCTAATAATAGGCAGCCTATAAAAAAAACAAATAATGCACAAAAATTAAAAATAACATTTGTATACCGATATATTAAAAAAAATATCGTTGCCATCCCTCTACAGAACTCGAAATTCCGCACGATATACCACATAAACGGTCTATCGTATTTTGAAGGTTTTTTCGAGAAAAACAACTTTGTTCATTAAAAAAAAAATCGGGGTAAAAAAGAAATAAAACGCTATTTTGGGACTTTTTGCAACAAAAATTTGGCATAGAGCAACGACTCAACGACAATGCCTATATATTTTTTGTATACAAAGTTTTTTACTTAAATTAACGAAAAAAATAAAATATTGAGTTTTCGCCTTAATCCGCAAAGGGTAGAATCCCGAAAAGTTGAGGTTAAGTTTTTTATGAGCCTTTTGGGATTTATGCAACGAAAATGATTTTTTCCAAAAACATCCTTTTTTCGAAATTAAAAAATCTATTTTTTTTAGTAAGGTGTCCATCGCTTAATTTTTTTGCCAAAATTAACAGTTTGTTTTTGAGAATTTGTTCAAAAACCGCTAATCTTTTTGACCTACCTGTATTATATTATTCTGATTGTGGCATTTATGTGTTCAGGGGCGTTGGTTTTACACTACATATCTTATAATAGTAACACCGCCCTCGGTGGTGTAGTAGTCAGTGCTGCGAACTACATATATATATATATATATATATATATATATACATCTATTTATCTTTTCAGCGTCTTTTCATAACGCAACCTTTTAGCGTCCATGAAAGTTTATCTAATTTAATTTAAGCTCATAGATGGCGTACATTGTACTGTGTTTAAAAGTGTAATGTATATTAAATTTATTTGGATTGGTTAGGATTAAATTGACATTTTCTACTATGCTGTTTTTCAGCGTCCGACTATTTTGCTATCGTTTCAACGTCCTCGATATACTTAACATTACGTTATCTATCGTGCGTCCAGATGTATACTTTAGTAACAAGTCGTCGCTGATTCTGCGTCTGGCAATGTTGCCTGACTTAACGGTTAAGTCCTAACCAAAAAAAATATAAAATAAATCAAAGTGGTGTTCTTTAAAAGTGATAAGTCGTTAATTCTAAAATGGGTTCAAGGGGAAAAGGAATTTTACAGATAGTATCTCGTTTATCTCCAGGTAAGTGTATTTTACTTTTATTTTTTAAATTTTTTTTACCAATTTGTATTTTATAATAAAAACAAAAAATAAGTTAGATTAGGCATAAATCTTACAATAGAGTCTTGCTAAATTGATCTATTATTTTATCTACTTCGAATTTTCAAAACAATGCAATAATGCCTATCTATGTACATACGTATGTAAGAAATGAGACCAAATGTTTTAAAGATGATTACATTTATGGAGTACCTACAAATGGCACAAATAACGAACTAAAAAGAACAATTAATAATTTGCAAAAATCTACAGTTATCTCAAGACTCTGGGGAACCAAAACTTGCTATATATTATAAAATGACGTTTAATGTTGGGGTCTTGGATAATCTTTTTCCGACTTTTAGCCAGCTTTTAATATTGAATACCTACCCCTATGTGCGTCGTCGGCAAAATTTTTTTTAGCGCGATCACAATACTTGATGGTGAGATCCGGGAAAGTACCTAATTGCCCCATTTTGGAGATTTCATAGGTGGGGCTTACAACCTCAAAATATCAAGTTTACAATGTTATATAATAATTATATAATATTGTAAACATTTATTGAGTAAAATTTAAAATTTACAAACTAAAAATGAATTAGTCAAAAATGACTTTTTTACTTGTACAATGGTTAACCATGGGATCAGTCTCCCACCAGATATCTTCACCATTAACAAAAAATCCTGAAACAACCAAATTTGTACTAAAACGACAACTGGTTCCGTGAACATCCCAACAGAAACAAGTTGTTTTAGAGTTCTTCAAAAGTCATATCAAACAAAAAAGGCCACCTAAAAGATCAGAATGCGAAGAATTAAGGGGCAAATATTCAGATCTTTTAAGTAACAAGCCGTGGACGAAAATAAAAGTTTTTATTCAAAACACATACAAAAAAATGGATTAAGGTACCTAACTAGACTTATATAGGTATAGACTCACATTCCAGTCTAACATTGGTTTTAGTGGATTAGTTTTTTAAGATTATATTTCATAAATTGTAGTTTTTTGTTTTGCATCCAAAATTTTATAATAAATATTGTTTTAATTAACCTTAGTTAAATTTATTACTGGTGGTATTTTTACTACTAGTGGTATCCCCGTATTATTTTACCATATCTAGTTAGTAACTCGTAGTTACTCTAGACGAAAAAATTACCAAATGATGATAGCAAGCAGCGGTAAGTTTTAATTTACCCACAAAGTTGGCTTTGGCGGCGTTGTCAAATTGAAGGACGCCGAACTATCTTATAATGCATAAGTATATCAATATACGTATACGACTGCAGCGCTACCGATGAAAATTGTTTGAACTACTTCTGTATAAATCTGACCCAAAGTACGACATTTCAGCATCCGTTTATATAATAATAACTACTAAAGATAGAAACACAGTCTATAGATTTTTTAATGCAAAATTCTGTAATAATTAAAAGATTGCAAACATCTAGCGCACATGCCGTTAATATTGTTAGGATCCAAATTAACACGGAATTACCGTTCAGCGTCCGTATACGGATGCTCAATGCCGGTGGACGCTGAATCGTATGTAATTTTTAAATGTATGGACGCTAAAAAGTTGGTAGGTTATATATATATATATATATATATATACATATATATATATATATATACATATACCTATATAATATATTATGTATATATAAATATATACCTATTTTAATGTTAATAAATATATTTGATTTTGATTTGATTTTTGATTTGCTGCGAACTAGAAGTCGAGTTGTCGTGGGTTCGAATCCCACATGGGTATGGCAGTTCGTTCTTTAATCCTTGATCAATAAATTTAAAAAAAAATTTTGGATACATACATACATACATACATCCTTACCGGTTTTCAATATTATTATTAATAATAATTAATTAACTCATTTAAATATCTTTATGTGATTTATTCATTTTTTATTATTTTATAACGATATTATTAACAGTGCATTTTTTAATAATTTATTGAAATTAAATTTTACATTTCCTTATGATACGCAATTATCTTTTCTCAAAAAAAAAAACATTCAGGATTTGTACTTTTTTATAATACTTCAAATGGCAAACAATTTTTTAATCGAATGTTTTTTGATGATTTTACTTTACGTAATTTAATTTATATATGTAAATTTTTGTAACAATATATATACCAATTAAAATTTCTGTTTCTTTTAGTTCGAGACGGTGACACAGTAAAACACTACAGGATTCGCCAGCTGGACGAGGGCGGCTTCTTCATCGCCCGCAGGACGACTTTCAGGACCCTGCAGGACCTCGTCAGTCATTACAGTAACGACGCGGACGGTTTGTGCGTTAATTTATGCACACCTTGCGTACAGGTCAGTACACCCTTAACTATGAGTACCAAAATTAAATACAAGGGGGTAGTCTAAAGTAACGTCCCAGTACGTTTTTACTATCACTGATAAGGCCAAGTTAACAAGTTTTTTATTATTTTTGACATTGTATGTATGATTCATACATGTATGTGTTTTCTTTCTTTCTTTTAATACAGTATTTGACAATTTTTAATAAATCAACCGAAGAAAATTTTTAGTATTTTCATGATTTAATAGTATACATATTATGCAACAAGTCACGGTTTAAATTAGGAACTAGAAAAGCTTGCGAGCGAGTGTTTCATAAACTAGTGTCTAGATAAGTTTATAAAACAAGTTGCATAATATAATATATTATACTAATTTTCGGAAATAAATAAATTTCGATATCTGTCAGACTGTTCTAACATCACATTCTAGTTGCTTTATATTGACGATTGACATTTAACAGCTGCAGCTAACTTTACTCCGTGACTAAAACGCCATAAAGACACAGCTTGTCAATCATGTGTAAATAATGTCTCAATAGACAAAAAGTAATTCTCTATAAAAAGTTCTTATTTTAAAATTAATTTGCAATATAAAAATTTGAGCCCAGATGTACAGGGTGTTAATAAATTAGGAAAATAATAACAACTTTGTTGCATAAAATTTTTGTTAATAGTATATTATTATACGAGAGATCATGCAGCCATTTACAAGGAAGAGTCAATAATTCACATTATCTTGTAATTTATCATAACCTTACTTTATCCCGATTTTAATGATCATTATAGTCGCCCCTCGTATATATTCAATATTGAAATCAGCCAATCACTGATGCCTAAAACCTTCACGGTTATTATGCACGTTGTTAATGTCAATACAATGCAATAGGAATTGAAAAATAAATTTATATCATGAGTATTTTTTATAACTTAAAAATTATGAGAAAAGAAAGTCCTAACAATGGTTTTAATCATATTTAATATAAAAATAATACAATATAAAAAAGTCGTTTAACGACTAATAGTCGTTAAACGACTTTTTTATATTGTATCAAACATGGCGGACAAGAATACCTATCTTATTACGCTGTGTCTACAGTCCCGACTGACGTCATAATTTGACGATTTTATGTAATTTTACAATCGAATGTTATGATAAAAACAAAAAACATAATCTAAACTTTTACTATACAATTAAATATTAATGCTTTTTAATACCACAATGTATTATTTCAAAATGTAAATTCAAAAAAAAAGTTGTGAAGGTGCCAAATGCGTTTCGCATGCTAAGCGAAATCCCTACCATCTGAGCTACGCCTGATATCAATTTTATAACACTCGGAATCGAACTTTAGTCCTGCCTCGGGACTGTAGACACTTCCATCTTTTTAGAGCCTTAATTAAACAAATAAAAATTATTTTGTGGTTTTGTTATTTTTTTTAAGTAATATAAACTATAGGAGCCTTCCAGTTTGTAAGGTACTGTTTGTCCTGTTCAAACGCACTATTTTTTTGCCCTAACAACCAATACTAAAAATATTTATTTACTATTCGAATTAGCAATTAATTAATTCTATATACAAACACTATTTTAATTACAGATTAATTTCGTACAAACTGGAATGCTCCTTTAACAGAATTCATTTTAAGTTCTTTATAATTTGGTGCAGTACACTCTAGACTGCCCCCTTTAAGTAATGTTTGGCTATTGGCTATTTAAACATTTTGAACTTACAAAATTATACTAAACATTTTAAATTCACATTACTATGATTACATTTATAAAAAGTAATATACAAAATGGTAAACGATTACTATGTTATCATGCAGAGTTTGTCACCAGAGGTATGTTTAACATTGTATTTTTTAATTAGATTTTTTGTTTTTTAAACATTAAACACGCAAAACATCACTTAGGACCCTGGTATGGTTTATTAAAAGTTAACTTAAAAAGTAAACATTCTGTATATATTTTATAAAACTTTTTAAGTAACATTTTTAAATAGTACAGTCAATCTGTCAAAAAAGGGCTGTTTTTGGAAAAAAATTACCAAAGTCATGAATTGTTTGAGGCTCATAAGAAACGCTTATCCCAACTTTGCGGGATCCTAACCCAAAAACTAACTATTTCCTACTAGGAAAGTAGGTACCCAATGACATAAACTGGCATTTAGGGAATTCCTAGAAATAGTGAGTTTTTGCTAAAAAAGACAAAAATGTCAGTTTATGTCATTGGGTACCTACTTTTTTTGGGTACTGAAGCGCTGAATATTTCGTCCTAAAGCATTGACCCAACTATAGTCTATGCAAAGTAAGTGTAAACAGCATAAAAACCTTAACTGGACTCATAGGCGGCATCTCCTTTATGAATCATAGGCGTGCAATGCAACAGTATAAATTCATACAGGGAGCGGTCAATACAAATTTTGTTATTTTATTTCAGTGCGTAATAATCGTATCTAAATGTTTTGCTGTTTGCACTAACTTTGCATGGACTATAGATAAATTGTAGGGACAATGCCTACCACACTACATTTTTGTCTAAAAAATTTCTTCTAAAACTTATCGTTTTCGAGAACAATGGAATAAAAAAAAACAAAAAAGTTTTTACCTTAATCCTGCAAAATTCGGCTTATGCTTTTCCTATGAACCCGATGCATGTGAAAAATTACTAAAGTCAATTTTTGCACATATGGCTGTACTAAAAAACCATCTAATAAAATTATCAGGATTATAAAAATATAATACAGGGTGTCCCAGAACTCGCCCCACAGAATTGCTGATAGCAATGGAGATGCAAAATTTAAAAATAAAAATTTCTTGGTAATAGTGTAATCAATTGAGAGCAAAAAAGCGGCAGCCAATACTGAGAGCTCTCGCCTAGGTTAAACGTAGGAGCCAAAGATAAACATTGCTAGGAGACAATAGAACATTGTTGTCTTAAAACTTTTAAAAATCTTTTCTACTAACTTACTAGAAAACTTAATTTTCCACCCCCGAGCGAGGTAGGAAAATGCCGCTTTTCCTCCCCGGGAGGAAAAAAATTTTCCTCCCTCTTTTTTTTTAACAATTTTACATTATCAAGAGTTTTTGTACCTTGTCTAGTCCTATTTGATTTTGTAGGAAAAAGATTTACTCCGTGCTTGTCCAACCATACTTTTAACAAACTATAGGTATTCATTTTCATATCGCTCTTTTGATTTTTAAGGAAGGAAATTAATTGCAACTATTCTTGCCTGTTTAGCAAGATCTTGCGGCAGGTCTTCTTCGCTAGAACTTATTTTCAAAACGTAGGAAGAATTTCAAATTTATGATAAACATTCTGACAGCTTATAAAAACTGTTATGTTGTTATTACCAAAAATACCCTAGCAACAAAGCGTTGTCAACATAACGTCGGCGACGCAACACCTATTTTGTCATAATTTTATAGCCCTATACCGGGTTAGTAAACGGAACCGGAACGCTTAAAATGTCTTAAAACTGTCAAAAGCTAATAGAAAAAACTATATACATACCTCAGGAGGAAAATACGTTTCCTCCCTTGAATATTTAATGCCCTTCGCTTCGCGTCGGGCATCAAACTATTCGCGGGAGGAAAAGCACTATTTTCCTCCCATGGTATGAAATAGCTATTGTCCGACTGTGTTTACTATCCTTTCAAAAAGGAAAGTCATACTTAGGGCGCCAATATTTTAAAGTAAAAATTAAACAACTAGTTTTGTACACCAGAACCAAAATCTTCCACTCTAGCGGGATTATATTTCGGCTGCAGGTGCTGCACTCGCAAAATGAACTTCCTTCATAACTGTGAACGGGAAATTCGCGTGCAACTTCCCTTATGCTCTTTCTACTATCGGGAAAGCGCCGGAAAGAAACTCGTGCTGCCTTCCTAGCATTGCGTCCATACTCCTCATAAATAATCATCATTTCGGCATAATCAAAGGAGGAAAACAACTTAAAATGATAAATAATGACAGGAGCAAAAATTGACAGCAGATCCACAGTGAAGTGGATTTCAGTCGACCAAATATTTTACATATTATATCAACAATGCATCCTAAGTATCCTAGCAATTTAAAGAATTTCCTATGGCCATGTATTGGGATTGGCTGGTTTTTTATTCTTATCTCGCTTATCCTTTGCGTTAGATAATTTTAATTTTAAAGTATGTGTTTCGCATAACTTTTGGCACATTCCCCTTTTCTCTGTGGCGCGAGTTCAGGGACATATTAAATAATAGTTTTCATGGTTTTCCTAGTATTTCTCTTTTTTATAAAGAATTTTTATGATTTATTAAGTTTTTAAGGATTCTACATTATTTCGTTAAATGTTCTACAAATTTTAACAAATCTATATTTCTTTTGATATTCTATATAGGGTAGGCCAAGGGAAAGTTTTCACCTGGATTTTCTAAGGTGTTAAGTAAAAAAACACAAAACGCTCACATACGTCGATTTTTGATTTTAGGGGCACAATTTATTTTTAACCCATAAACTTTAACCTCTAAGCATTTGTAATAGTTATTCCCAACATTTTTAATGGCAAGGGGGGCATTTTAAAGTTCTTTTTGCCCTGATTATAACTTCCCTGCTTAAAATACCCTATAGAGGCCATGTTTAAACCGATAGATATTTGTATCGGAATGTATGGTGTTTCTATAGGGTGTATTGGTACACTGAGAAAAAAGTTTATTGCTCCCAAATAAAAAAAATATTTAAATATGGGACAAGGGTACAGTTTATTTATCCTAAATATATTTTTATTCCCGACACATAAAGTTTTACTAAATTATATTTATCGTTATTATTTCGACTATTTAGAGGTAATAAACAATATATTCACTATTAATAAAAGTATTAGCTACACAGTTTATTTGTCCCATTTTTTTCTCAGTGTATGTACAGGACCCATAGTTGGGATTTATGGTTGTTCTATAGGGATATCCACCCTTGATTTATTTGCTATTGGTTTCAATGGGGGAAAATACACATAAATGTAGAAATTAGTTTTTCCCCCATAGGACCCCATAGATTTTAATAAAATTTTGTCAAATGTTTTATGGTTGTCTTTATGGGGATATCCCTATATATCCTTCATTGAGTTATTTGCTATCAGTCTCAATAAGGAACATGTAAAAGTTATAGTGTGCCTATAGGTTATTTCCTATAAAATTTCTATTGGGCCCTATCCGGAAAAAACCATGGACAAATGCACATATTGAATCCGGTAGCGCCCGATAGATTATTTTGTATAAGTCTCTATGGGGTATTTTAAGCAGGGTTCCAAGTTTGAAGTCGCGAACAGCTTGTCAAAATCTTAATTTTTAATTAATAATTGAGAAGCATCCGTGCAAAACCGGCAAAATCAGTTTTTGGTTTTTTTTTATTTCGCATCTTTGGGTTCATTTCTATCGACAACCAAGATAATTCTGTTTAAACCCGACTATATCCATGTTAAAATCACATTTAAAAGGTAGCTTTAGGAGCAAAACCGGCCAAATCCACGTTTTTATAGCAAACCCGGCTATATCCAATAAATATTAATGATGATGAGCATGTGACTTGGATATGTCGATACTACTACTAAAATTTGTTGTTTTTTCATGTTTGCACTAAATTTATTTTGTTAATATTTTTAAATAATAAAGGTTTTTTTTCACATTTTATTCAGTTTTTGAGCAAAACCGGCTATATACAATTTTTTTTTAAATTTTTGCCTTAATAAAAAGTTTTTGAAAACGAAAGTATGTCTTATAAATCAAGTACCACAAAGCCCACAAAACTCAAGTTTGCTTTTTCTTTTATCTTTAAAGGCCAGGAAACCGAGAGTTTTTGCCATTTACCCAACATTTTATTAAAGTGGATATAGCCGGTTTTGCACGGATGCTCCTCAATTAATTAATCACTAGAGCTAGCGAGGGTCAGAAGACCTTCAAAATAAGAGATCACTCAAACTTTGTATTGGCCCACCCTGTATTTCATTATTTCAACATTTTCCTGATTTTCTTTTTCTTTTATAATAGGTAGTATATTATTATACGAGATATAATTCAGGCTATTATTTACGAGGATGAGGTTTGCGTCCCGAGCCGCCATCGAGAGACGTAAATCATCAGAGTGAATAATGCGCAGTATATCGAGTGTAATACTATGCTTTTTCTACTCCATTTTAATGATCATTAAAGTCGCCCCTTCTACATCAAAAAATCTGACATCTGTTAAAAGGTTCCAACCTCACTTTTTCCCAATTTAAAACCCTACAACAACTTGAATAATGAGTTCATTATTCCTGTTTTTAGGCGGGGCGGTTCTAATAGTTACCATTATATAGAGAAAAAAATAATGTCAATAATATGCAATAGGTGTAGAAACATATTATTTATTCTGTTTGGTATATAATTTCTTATTCTTTATTTTTTAAATTTTAGTTGGTTCTTTGGTTCTTGTAAATTTTTTTTACTGAATTTTACAGATTTTTAGTTAATTGAGACGTTAAACGTTAAATATTCTTTGTGCATATGGGCAAAGTTTGACAGATTTGAACATTACCACATCTTACATTTTTATATTCTTGATAAAACCTACAACCTAGCCAACCTTGCACTCTTACACTAAAATAGTCAATAGCTTTTTTGGCTACTCATAAACCTCAAACCTAACGTTTACATTATTCTTATTCTAGGTGGAGAAACCTCAACCTGAAGGATTATCCCATCGCACGAGAGATCAATGGGAAATCGAACGTGCATCGCTTAAATTTGTTCGAAAACTTGGACACGGCCAATTTGGAGAGGTAAATATAATATTGAACTTATAAAATAATATAAATAACACTAAATCTTACTTCTTTAGGTGTGGGAAGGTATGTGGAACAACACGACCCCAGTGGCCATTAAAACTCTTAAACCGGGTACAATGGACCCTAAGGATTTCTTGGCTGAAGCTCAAATAATGAAAAAGTTAAGGCATCAGAAGTTGATACAGTTGTATGCTGTTTGTACGGTGGAAGAGCCCATTTATATTATTACTGAGTTGATGAGGAATGGGTCCTTGTTGGAGCATTTACAGGTGAGATAAATTATTATTATTATTATAAATTAGTTCGGTATTTTAATGATTCTATAGTTAATTTTTTTTTGATAATATTTTGTAATTTCTTTTAGTTAAGCTGATGCTTAAAAAATTAGAAAAAAATTTCCGAAAAGTAGTTTAAAAATTGAATTTTATTTTCTTTATTTAATTTTTTAAAGAATTTCTATTTATATAAAAAGGATTAAACATAATTTTATAATAACTTTTCAAAAAAAAAGAAGTAATTTTTTTTCAAATTTTACGGTGGAGAAATACTTTTTTATTTTTTTCTCTCTCAAAAATACTTAATTTTATAAATTAGAAAAAATTGCTTTTTTATTGTCAAATTAAAATCTTTAACTACACGCCGGTGTATTTTGTACACCATTTCGACAAAACTTGCTGCCGTTTGGTTTTAAACATTTACAAAAAAATTGCAAATTTTATTATTTTTAAGTCGCGTTTATTGGAAAATGTACATTTTTGTGAAATAAACGATATTCTAGCGCAAAATTACTTAAAAAATAAAAATTGATACTAAATGGTTTATTTCTACCAAAAATAAATCAAATAAACAATAAACAATTATGAGGAGGTACGGTAGAGTAGCGAATAATCTACTGTTTTTAATATTTTATAATAATGCGGCTTATTTGTAATAACGCGGTGTAAAGCCCTAGTTTATAAGAAATTTTACTTCTATGATGCTGCACATGATTTTTTTTATCTAACCATGTAAAATTCCAATATGGCTGCCATAGGAAAAACAAAAGATGATGGTAGAAACTCACAATCCAGTAGGCAAACTTACTTTTTTCCAAATTCACAGGAATCACAAAGTTAAAACGATTTTTGGTTTTGACAGGTTTTTAGTTTTTTTTTTAATTATTTAAGAATGGCCAATATTTTTTCCAATTTTTAAATGCCATTTTAATAGACTTATAACTACACAAGTTTTTTTCTAATTTAAATAAAAAAAGAACACATCTGTGGGTAAAAGGCATAAGGGGATAAGTCGAAAAAGGGAATTTTTCAATAGACTCTTTAACGGGTTCGCATTAATTCAGGAAATATATTTATGTTTAGGGGGTATACTCAAAGATAATACACCCCATAGATTGGAAACTCTCCCACCACTGCCCTCTAGAGCTACAATACCTGAACTATATCTATTTGTTAATTGCAGACATCTGTACAAACGCTATTTGTAAATGTCAATGTCAATCATAATTATTGATGTCAATCATAATTTTTAAATTATTAAATACATTTTTGCACCTTAAAAGTGATAAAACGTGTTAATGGTTGTGAAATGTATTGTTGTTGGGTGCGGAAATGTAACCAATTTGTAAGTATTGACTATCCTGCCGTCCTAAGCCAAAAAGACTCATCTCCAATATTATTAAATTATTCTCTTAGCAAAAAAGGCGCTTTTAACTATACATACATTTTAAAGTACTATATCTCCTAAAAATTTCTAATTAAATTGAACGTATCTTATGAAAAAAAATAAAGCACTATAATTTATAAAGTATAAATGTGGAGTTGCGTCTTTTTGGCTAAGCTCGGCAGTATCGCTCTAGCGTAAAAATACTGTTTGTTAATTATGAATTATTTAGGATTGCTTGTTAAATGGTAATTTAGTCCAGGCCAAGCCCAGGCTACTTATGGTTGTTTCAAAATCAAGAGTTGGCAAGATGGATTTTTCACGGTTGGTTAGAACTTGCCATAAGTCCACACTCAAAAGCCTTGTACAAATTCCTATATGTATATGTATAAGTAGCCAGGACTAAATTACCAAATTTTGCAATATTCTCTTATTATTGAAGAATTAAGACTAATATTTTTTAGGTTTACACCCCCCAAACAAAAACATATTCATGTATACCCATTATGTATTTAATATGTACATTAGATGTATGTATTTTATTTTATATTAGATTATTACTACAATAAATAAATCTTATATTCATACTTGTTTTATTTAAAATACAGCAGTAAATACAATATATAAAGGCACCCTACTAAGCATCAACATTCAAATTTTCCGCCAATATGTTACAGAAATCTACTTCAATTTTTGGCATTGCTAAGGGTATTGTAGACCTAGATGGCGTTAATTTACTTTAGCTTTTTGCCGCTAGCGCTAGTGCAGTTTCCAATCTATGGGGTGTATTATCTTTGGGTATACTCTTTTGTTAGCATATGACATGTGCTAACAAAAGTAATATACCCGCTAACCATAAAAATGTTTCCTGAAATAATGCGAATACGTTTAAGGCTCTACTGATAAATTGCTTTTTTGACTTATGCCTTTTACCCACAGACATACATAGAAGGATACTTGGTGCACCCTGTATATTGAATTATACTTTTAAGAATTTTAAATTTAATCACACACCACAACCAAACAGCAAAGCAAATACAAAAAAATGTTTAAACATTAGCCATTAAAATACTGAAATGTTTTTAATGACAAGTGACGGTCATCAAAAGTCATATTTGGCAACAACAATCTTTAGGTATCGCTATCTATTATTATTATAATATATGTTGCTAAATATGTATTATATATGCACTGTTAAAAATAATGGTAAATGTACTACTATAATGAATCAGGATATTTACATAATGTAATTGTAACTTGTAAAATGTAATTTTTCTTAAAACAATTTTTTGTAAAATTGAGAAGAAATTTTAACGGTGTGTATACAATTTTATATATAATTTTAAATAACGAGGGTAAATATTTATTAATTCATTTTTAGACAAATTCGTATAGGCCAAAAATTACTAGATTTTGATAAAAGAAAACTAAAGTACACAATGTATTTAAAAAGTACTAGATCTAGTACAATTGTGCAACTGGCAACACTGTCCATAACAACCATTATATAGGATGTTTCTTAAATCTGTAGGTCCGCCATTTTCCTAAAATCCTGTGTATATACAGGGTGTCCGGGAAAATGTGGGAAATCTCTCGGATTCAGATAGAACATAAAAAAATAAGATGAGACGTTCCTATAATTTTTTTTCTTACTGGCCATCCTTACGGAGACATGGGCCCCGAAAGGACTCCCCTGCAAATTGGTTTTCCTTGAATAACTTTTAAAGTACTAAATATAATTTAATAAAAAGTTAATATGATGGACCTCTTAAAATAGTGTCATTGAAACATGTTTTGCTTTTTTTGTTTACCAGGGGCGGACTAAGTTTTACTTTTTAATGCTTAAATTTTGAACACCCCGTATGACAAAGACTTAAAAAAAACTAAATCTGCATAGCTTGAACCTTAAACTAAAATAAAGGTACTCTTGTTTATTGTCAATAAAATGAACCGTTTTCGAGAAAAAGAATAATAAACAAATTCATGTTTTATTTTTTAATAAAAAGGACCATAAAAAAATAATATAACGTATTGTTGCAAACCTTAAATTGAAGGACGATAATTCGAAACAATTAATTAAAAACTTTATAAGAGGGTTCAACATGGGTTCCGTGAACTCTGATACATTCGCGTCTAATTGGGGACTGCTGTACCCGCCAGAATCTCCCAGAATTGTTTCTTATCATATCACAATAAAACGTGATTATCTGTAGAAGTTCCTCCCTAGTATCTATCGGAGTGGAATTCACCAAGTTTTTTTAGGTATTCCCACAGGAAAAAATCCATCAGCCTAAGGTCGGGAAATCGAGGAGGCCAGTCAATAGGTCCTCCTCTACCTATCCAACGGTTTGGATAAGCGTTATTCAAGTGCTCCCGCACAGCAACGCTGAAATGAAGTGGTGCCCCATCGTGCAAGAAGTACATGTTTAGGCGGGTTTCAAGTGGTAAGGGCTGGAAAGAATAGTGCTAATGAAGTTTACATTATTTTGTTGCTGATCCAATAGCCAGTTTGCAAACTGCATTCTACAAGGGATATCTTCAGAAAAAAGTTTATGCACTTTTTGCATATGATAAGGATATAACAGTTTTTCTTAAAGAACATCATGCACTATTGTTTTCGACGTATTAAACTGTGCTAATAATTTTCGAGTGCTCGTTGAAGGAGTGTCATCTAAAGCATTTAAAATATTTTTCAAACTTACCTAAAATTATGAGATGAATTAAGAAAGTCAATAATATTACTTTAATAACTGAAATTGTCCACCATTCTCTCTAAGACGTTGGTCAATTCGTTAAAATGTCTTCTGATTTCGAATAATAAGAAGAGAATGGTGAACAATTTCATTTATTAAAGTAATATTATTGACTTCCTTCATAATTTTAGGTACCTACGTTTGTAAAAAAAGTTTTCTTTTCACGGATGAAGCAGGATTTACCAAAAAAGGTAACACACATGTATGGGCTGATGAAAATCCTCATGCCACTATTGTTTCGCATTTTCAACATCAGTTCCAACCAATTAATACGTGGGCAGGAATCATTGGCAATATTTTGATTGGACCATTCGTATTGCTGGCACGATTGAATGGACAACTTTCTTGGAGTTTCTCCAAAACGCTTTTCGGGATTTAATAGAGCCCTTACCACTTGAAACCCGCCTAAACATGTACTTCTTGCACGATGGGGCACCACCTCATTTCAGCGTTGCTGTGCGGGACCTATTGACTGGCCTCCTCGATTTCCCGACCTTAGGCTGATGGATTTTTTCCTGTGGGGATACCTAAAAAAACTTGGTGTATTCCACTCCAACAGATACTAGGGAGGAACTTCTACAAATAATCACGTTTTATTGTGATATGATAAAAAACAATTCTGGGTTATTCTGGCGGGTACAGCAGTCCTCAATTCGTCGTGCCCGCGAATATATCAGAGTTCACGAAACCCATGTTGAACCCTCTTATAAAGTTTTTAATTAATTGTTTCAAATTATCGTCCTTCAATTTAAGGTTTGCAACAATACGTTATATTATTTTTTTATGGTCCTTTTTATTAAAAAATAAAACATGAATTTGTTTATTATTCTTTTTCTCGAAAACGGTTCATTTTATTGACAATAAACAAGAGTACCTTTATTTTAGTTTAAGGTTCAAGCTATGCAGATTTAGTTTTTTTAAGTCTTTGTCATACGGGGTGTTCAAAATTTAAGCATTAAAAAGTAAAACTTAGTCCGCCCCTGGTAAACAAAAAAAGCAAAACATGTTTCAATGACACTATTTTAAGAGGTCCTTACCAGGGTCCATCATATTAAATTTTTATTAAATTATATTTAGTACTTTAAAAGTTATTCAAGGAAAACCAATTTGCATCCGTAAGGATGACCAGTAGGAAAAAAATTTATAGAAACGTGTCATCTTATTTTTTCATGTTCTATCTGAATCCGAGAGATTTCCCACATTTTCCCGGACACCCTGTATAAGTATATTGTCTTAGTTTTTTTTACATTAACATTATTTTTCTAGGCATTGTTAAAATCTTCAATCTTTTCGTTTTCAGGGCAAAGGAAAGAGCCTTAAACTCAACGACCTCATCGACATGGCGGCGCAAATCGCCGCGGGCATGGCCTACCTCGAGTCCCAAAACTACATCCATCGCGATCTCGCAGCGCGTAACGTCCTGGTAGGCGAAGGAAAAGTTGTAAAAATCGCCGATTTCGGCCTGGCCAGGTTGATCAAAGAAGACGAGTACGAAGCGAGGGTGGGCGCTCGGTTCCCGATCAAATGGACGGCGCCCGAAGCGGCCAACTACAGCAAATTCACGATCAAGTCCGACGTGTGGTCGTTCGGTATTTTGTTGACGGAGTTGGTGACGTACGGAAGGATACCTTATCCAGGTAATGAATTATAGAGATGGGAATCGGAAAGTTTCCATTTGAAGGAAAGTTTCCATTTTGGAAAGTTTCCAGTCGGGAATTTATTTTTATTTTGAAAGTTTCTTTTAAAGTTATCGGAAACATTCCCGGCAACTCTCTTTGGAAACTTTCCCTGTTTTTTATGTAAATGTCAATTGTTTAACAGCTGATTTGCGAAACTAAGGCCAAGAAACTGAATAAGAAGTTAATTTGTATTAATTTAAAGAAGAAGAAGATGTATAGTATTATTTATGTTCTATGATTAGTTTGTTGAAGATCTCATCATCAAAATTCAAATCCTTTGCATAAAAGGTAAACAAAATAAAAACAATAAACAAAGTTAAAATCATTCTAACGTTTTTGTTGTTTATCTATAGGTTCAGTACAATGCCAAGAAAAAATCTTATATTTGGAATTATTACATAATAGCGCAAAAAAACATGCTCAATGCAGTACATTGAATGTTACTAATGGCATTGTTGTAGATGCAGTTCCTAAGTTACAATTTTTACAAGTTTAAATTACGGGAACACTTTTATTTTTGTTTGGTATGAACAAAATTCCTAATTTGTTTTTTTGCTTATGCAATTGTTTTTATGGGTAATGGAAGTCAAAAATGTTAATTTTATTTTTCCTGTAGTTTTTTTTATATTTTATTGGTCAGAACGGCATTACAATTTTCGACACAAAAAATTAGTTCTCAGGCACCTCTAGAAAGTGCTCACCAAATCTGAGCTCTTAATATTAATAGGAAGATCCTCCTCATCATAGTTTTCAATTTTTTCTTTAGTGCCTTATAAAAAACCATATTTCATTATTAATCACTAAATTTAATGCTCTACAGAAAAGGACTGCTGTGTTTAAGCGATTAAACCGTTTAAAAGATATGCAAGATTTAAGTTTGAAGAATTTAAAAAAAAAATATATTTTTTTAATAATTTTGTAACTTATTAAAAAATAATTATTGTCAAATGAGTATGACATATTTTTGTAGAAAATTTAACGCTCTACAAAAAAGGTCTAATGTGTTTAATTGATTACTCTAACCGTTGAGAAGATATTCGTATCAGTAGCATAGGGATTCGGGCACGAATATCTTCTCAATGGTTAGAGTAGGTAATCAATTAAATACATCAGACCTTTTTTTGTAGAGCGTTAAATTTCCTACAAAAATATGTCATACTCATAGAGATGTAAAAAACGGTTTTTTTCAGATGTGAAAAAAACATGAAAAAAAAAAACTAGAAAAAAAACGGTATTTTTGTTTTTTTTCAAATCCGCTGCAATATAGCATATTCTGTCAATAAATAAAAAAAATCAATCTTAAAAAATGGAGTAATTTTTCAAAATGAAATTTTGAGTAAAATTTATATTAATTAATATATTATTATTATTATTAATATATATATTATTAATAATAAAGTGAAATGTAGAATATATTACATTTTTCATTATTGAAAATTTTAATCGAGACTAAAAAATCTGATTTCTTATTATTTGGTAGTTTCCACATAAGAAACCAATAGCAATGTAAAACTTCTACACTACGAGCCCTAACCACATAATGTTCGGACACTTCATAATTTATACAGAAATTTTTTTTGTGAATACTATCTCAAAATTATAAGAAGTTATGAAAAATTCAGCTTATTTTGGCATATACCCCTCGAAGCGATTTTTATTTTTAAAAAGTTTACCTTTTATTTTTAGCTTTTAAAAAAAGGCTAACTTTTTAACTTTTTTTTGCATGAGTAAAAAAAGTTATAAATGGACCCATTAAAAAGAACATAAAATATTATACAAACCCTGAAAATTTGGTAAAAATTGTATAAATAATAAGAAAGTTATAGCGATATATATATCTGCAAAATCTCCCGTTTCCTAAGAAAATTGCAAAAACTCTTTAAAAATAGCATTTTTAAATTACTTATACTTTTTTATAACTTATTTATTTTTTACCAAATTTTCAGGATTTGTATAATATTTTATGCTCTTTTTAATGGGTCTATTTATAACTTTTTTTACTCATACAAAAAAAAGTTAAAAAGTTAGCCTTTTTTTAAAAGCTAAAAATAAAAGGTAAACTTTTTAAAAATAAAAATCGCTTCGAGGGGTATATGCCAAAATAAGCTGAATTTTTCATAACTTCTAATAATTTTGAGATAGTATTCACGAAAAAAATTTCTGTATAAATCATGAAGTGTCCGAACATTATGTGGTTAGGGCTCGTAATAGAAAAAAAATTCCAAGTTTTTTGCGATTTTTCGGATAGCTGTATCTTCGTTAAAAATGGTCGTATTGGAGCCGTAAAAAAAGCTATTTGAAGCTTGAAGTGTCTAGTTTTGAGATTTTTAGATGAAAAGCGTGCAACGCTCAATCCTAACGAAAACCGTAATAAAAAATAAAATAAAAATTTGGCTTTTTTTTTTGGTTCACGGAATGTTCTGACCACCAATGAATAAATGTTCTACAAGAATTTGCCATTGTTCTTTTGAAAAAAAAAATTTCCATACTCTACATGTATTTGAAAAATCATGAATAAAAAGTGCTTTTGATGGTTTTTGAAAAATCAAGCGCTGAATCAAAAATATTATAGGTACCTAGTTACTTTTTTTTAGGACCAAATCAAAACACGCGCGGCCCTTATTGGTCAATTCAGTGGTTGTGGCGCGTGCAAAGCGCGAGCCTATTTACATTTACTAAATGTCATTTAGAGGCTAATTTTAGTCCACAAACTAGACTGGAAACATACAAAATTAGGCAAATGGGACTAATCTTGAAAAAAAACCTAAAACATGAAAAAAACCATTTGAAAAAAAACAATGAAAAAAAAAAACAAAAAAAACGGACCGTTTTTTTTCAAGTCGCATCTCTACATACTCATTTGACAATAATTATTTTTTAATGAGTTACAAAATTATATAATTATATAAAAAATAATAAACTCTTTGAACTTTGATCTTGAATATCTGTTAAATGGTTAGAGTAATCGCTTAATCACATCAGTCCTTTCTTGTACAGCATTCAATTCTGTACAAAAATATGTATAAAGATTTCATTAAACGATTGATTAATAATGTAATATGGTATTTTTTATAAGGGACTAAAGAAAAAATGAAAAACTGTGATGAGGAGGATCTTTCTATTAATATTAAGAGCTCAAATTTGGTGAGCACTTTCTAGAGGTGCCCAAGAACCAATTTTTCAGTGTCGAAAGTAAAAAAAATATTTGATTTTTTTATCACCCTAATGTATACATTCATATAGACATTTTTTTTTTCTTAATAAAATTTGGCAAAAAGGTAATGTGTTATATAATTTTGCAATCCTCCTTGCACAATTAATTTTTTTTTTAAACTTTCGGGAATTTTCGATGGAAAGTTTCCGGGAATTTTCGTCAAATTGGAATTTTCCCATGTCATTCAACATTTGAAAAGTTTATTAAACCCTAATTTTTATTTTTTTTTTAGGCAACATTTGAAAAGTTTATTAAACCCTAATTTTTATTTTTTTTTTAGGCATGACGAACGCAGAAGTTTTACACCAGGTCGATCACGGCTACCGCATGCCGCAACCTCCGAACTGCCCGCAAGCCCTCTACGACATCATGTTGGAGTGCTGGAACCGCGACCTAATGAAACGCCCGACCTTCGAAACCCTGCAGTGGAAACTCGAAGATTTCTTCACAATAGAGGGAAGCGAGTATCGGGAGGCGTCGGCCTACTGAGGTCACGCCCACCCCCCTTCCGATTGGTTGCGCAACTCGGTCGACGTACACTACCACTAGATGGCGTTGTTGAAGGTTTAGAGCGCGTTATAAGCTCTAAGGCCGAGTATTATGGAGTGGGGAGGTGGATTTATCTATTTTCCAAACAAGTAGATAGATTTTACCGTACTTTCTGTTTATATTTCTTTTCTTTCTCTATTACATTTTCTTTGATTCTTTTTTGAGATTATCTGCGTCAAATGTCATTAATTTAAAAGTCAAAAAGATTGGGAAAAAATTAGGGCGTTTCATTTAAAACTATTTTTTTTTTTTTCACCAAAACTTCAAAATATTGTTCAAAACATCGAAAAAAAAATCTCTCACAGTTTGAGCCCTTCATTTTGATTCTAAGTACTTCCTTTTTCATTTTAAAATTTTCCCATTTAAAAAGCATGTATTTTTAATCACTTTTTTTTAATTTCTAATTCTTTGCTGGGTTTCAAGCTATCATAGAAGAATTTTTATCTAACTTGATTCAACTTGATGGCTCTGAAAGTATTTTTTTTTTACTTTTTCACATATTTTTAAAAATATTAAGAGAATGGCTTGTCTTACCGAAAAATTTTAAAGAAAAAAGTTTAGAAAATGTATTTCTCTACAAAAAAGTTTACCTTTATATCGTTAAAGTGCACAGTTTACAACATATGAGCAGTTTAATATTAAAAAATTTGAAAAATTTGTGTTTTCTTGAGATTAATTTATCGATTCCATGACTATTAAATATCTTGTGTAAACTGTGCCCTTAACAATATAAACATAAGAACTTTTTTGTAGAGAATTACATTTTCTAAAATTTTTTGGTAAGAAGCCATTCTCCTAATATTTTCAAAAAATATAAGAAAAAAGTAAAAAAAATTACTTTCAGAGCTGATACTATCAAGGTGAAAAATTTTGCTGGCAAAGATATAGAAATTTAAAAAAAGTGATTAAAGGGGAAAAAATTCAAAATGAAAAAGGAAGTACCTACTTAGAATGAAAATTAAGGGCTCAAACTTTGAGGGAATTTTTTTGTCAATGTTTTGAACAATATTTTGCAGTTTTGGTGAAAAACCAAAAAATAGTCAATTTAAATGAAACACCCTAATTTTGTGCCAAAAATATTTTAAAAGATTTTTACTGAATTGAATTTACATATTTAAATTAATTAATTTTTGTTTGGTTTTAAATACATTATAATTCTACAAACAAAAACACTACTGAATTTTAAAAATTGAATTGTTAATTTTTACATTAATTAAAAAAAATGACATTTATCAATTAGAAAAGTTTTTACAGATATATTTTTGTTACCACCCAAGAAATTTATTTCTTAGTATTTATTGCATTTGACACAGGATTTTGATTTATAATTTAAGCCTAATAACAATCTTTAAAAACAAAATAACTTTATACTCTAAGGTTGTTTCATCGTTGAGTATTCTTTATATCTACAATTTACACTTTGTTTTGTGGTAGTATTGTTTTTTTCAAAAATGACTAGTCCCCCTTATTTTGTCTATCCAACTATATTTTTTCTTTACTTTTTTTTCTACAAAACATTCTTAGGACTAATCTATTTATTTTATTTATTTTTTTGCCTGATTAAGGGGGCCTGTGATTTTCAACAAATTTTAAAATGGAATTGATTATTTAACTTTATTTTGTGTAAATAAATAAAAATTGACATGCGCACAATTTTATAAAAATGATGATTAAAAAACTAGCGAGCTAACATTGTGTATGGATGTTTTATAACTCAGTATTTGTGTAAAATTTAGTAATATTATTAATTCGGACCTAAGTAATTTTTATCAAATGTTAATACACAGTTTTAGTATTAAGAGTTAAGCCTCAACAGTTGAAAATTTAAATCAGTTATTTGTACATTTTTAGTTAAACTGGGGAGGTTCTTTCAACTCATCTTGTGTAAAAAGTTGCTTATGTGACACTGCATACACATTCCTTGAACAAAATAAATTTAATACAGAGTGACCAAACAAATATCAGAGCACAACACATTAATTTGGCATCATTCTGGATTAATTTATCTTTTTATCTTTCCATATCTCTACAGATTATACTAATACTTTTTATTTTTATTTTTTATTGTTTTTTGAAAAATATCATGGCGATTCTTTATTGCTTCGTATTTTTATGTTAACAATACAAATTTGTTCATACTGTTAGACACTTTATATGATATTTTTTGTATTATACACTCTAGTGTAGTTATAAATCATTATAAATATATTATATATACATAGTTTTGTTTTTTTATTGTTATATCACTTTATCCTGATTAGTTTATGTATTTTTTGCATCAAAGGCAGAGCAAATTTACATCTGGCAACATTGATTTTGTGAAGCTATAAATGTACATTTTTCTGTAGAAAGATGAAACTGTGAAAACAGCTATCAAAGATTTTAAAATTATCTGTTGATTTTATGCCGATTTTTGACTTGGGGAGGTTTAAGGAATATAAATTAATAATTTCTTTAGGTGGAATTTTTGATATATAAGTCAAATGTATGTTAAAAAAATGAAAATTATTTTTAAACAAAATATAGGTAACTGATATTACTATTATAATATTAAGATCAGTTTATTTTTAGTTTCTGCTTTTATTTGAAAGTCTTTGGGAATACCTTCACATCATCTTTCAACCCCTCTTTGCCTTGTAAGCTACTAAAAAATGTTTACAATCCTGGGGCATTAGATGCATTATGGATTTTAGATCTTGCAGTTTTGGAACAAATATTTTTATTATTTGACCACATTAGAACCAGAACATTTTTGGTAGTGAGAAAAGAAATAATAATAAGTTTGAAAAGTGCGGGTGGCCCCCGGTTAAGTCACAAAGTGCTTTAACGTCGTAAAAGTTTGTGAGAGAGTGAGTGATTAAGGTTAGGTCACACCGATAAGCTATCTGACTACCTGTATAGTCACCACAATCGGGGATTGCCAAGGTACACGGACTGTCCGCTAGGGATAGTCTAATTAGTCCAGCTATGTATTTTCCTAATTGCATGACCTAATAACAGTACAAATTCGATTCTATAAACTAATCGTTAAAAACTTATATTATTATTACCAAAAATGTCATCTGGCTTCAGAAAACAAAAAGGTCCCTAAACTCTATTTCAAGTTTTAATTATTAACTGAACAGTTTTTGCACATTCAATACGACCAATGCGCATAATTGTTTATTTAAAAGTCTCGAAATGTTACCTACAGTTTTTTAAATTAAACTCGTACAGTCTGAATTCACCCGGACAACAATCGGGATTTCCTGGTGAAGTCATGATGATATCACAACGTGATTTTTTTTATCACGCTGTGATATCCTGAGTGCATACACATGCTTCATCACAGTGATATCATGTAGAACTCACGGTGTGATATTTGCAAAATTTGCGCATGCGTATGAGCCCTGCGAACTGCGAATTTAATACCTAGTTTGTTATTCACATTACACCGTTATAATTTATAAAACGTTGTTTGAATATCACGAATGTTTTCCGGGTTCAATTAAAAAAGATATTCCAATGTTTAACAAAACGTGAATGTTTTGTTAAACATTGGAATATCTTTTTTAATTGAACCCGGACAACATTCTTGATATTCATACGAACATCATGTCGTGATTTTCACAAATTTTTTTCATACTGATATCATACGGAAGTCACCGCGTAATAAATGAAAATCATACGAACGTCACGTCGTGATTTTCACAAATTAACTAATAATTTTAATCCAAAAAAATATTGAATGTATTTAACCACAAAAACTGTTGATTCAATATATATGTAGTCTCAATGTACGAATGTGGCGCAAAAATAAATATCCAAACACCAATGGCATAAAAAATCACGACATGATTTTTTATGCCATCGGTGATTGGTCATAAAAAATCAAGACATGATTTTTTTTGCATTCGGTGGATATTCATTTTTGCGACACATTCGTACATTAAAAGAACAAGTATGTTAACAATTGAATCAACAGTTTAACATTCAATATTTTCTTGGATTTAAATTAACTATATAAAGTTAATTTAAATCCAAGAAAATATTGAATGTATTTAACCGCAAAAACTGTTGATTCAACATAATTTTTCTCTTAATGTACGAACGTAGCGCAAAAATGATTATCCAAAAACACGACATGATTTTTTGTGCCATCGGTCAATCGCAAACAGCGATGGCATAAAAAATCACGACATGATTTTTATTTCTCACGCAGTGACATCCGGATGATGTCCGTATGAATAAAATTTGTGAAAATCACGACGTGACGTTCGTATGATTTTCATTTATCACGCGGTGACTTCCGTATGATATCAGTATGAATAAAATTTGTGAAAATCACGACATGATGTTCGTATGAATATCACGAATGTTGTCTGGGTCATATACATATGAATATTAATATACATTTTTATTACTACAAAAATGTACAAAGATTTCAATTAATGCAGTTCAGACAGTAAATTAATAAAAAATCCTTAATCTTTTAATTTAAACACTCTTGTATAACAACCTCTGATTGTTTGTTTAAGATTTATTTTTATTTGTTTCAAAAACATAATTTTTAATTAAAAATAAGAATAACAGTGTTAAACTAACAACCTCATTTTCTCAGTGTAGACAACCCATAAATCAACTTCCAATCAACTAACCAAATAGAAAAAGGCATAAGAGTAAATAATCCAAATCAAGCAGGAACGACACAAAATTTAGATTTTATAAATAAGTGTTGTGTGTGTGTAATAGAAAAAGGATATATATAATATTGCACAATCCCTATAGGGAATGTGTCAATAGACACAATCATAGAGGTAGTTCTTTGGATAAAAGTTAGATTGCACCACAATCCACACAAATTTTTGTAGAAATAAATATATAAATTATATATTTATTTCTACAAAAATTTAATATATTATGATTATATAATATAATCATAATATATTATACTTAATATT